TGTTCTTCTGGGAAAAGTTTCATTCACGCGGGTTTCACCGATCCCACATGAAAAAGTTTTAGAAATGAGTAGCTGTTTACGAATCATTCATGATAGTCTGCATAACGCGGTGAGTTTCAATGTCATTATTGCGGGAATGAGTAAGGCATACAGATAGTGAGACCAGTGCGAGCCTCTGGGAAGCAGAGGTGACGCACTGGTATATATATAAAATCGTAAGCGCAATTCAAAAATGTGCACATAGCGGGAAACCGAGGGCGGGTCCCGAAGCGAACGCTCTTCCGAGCAGCACTTTTAATTACTGGTCCACTAGTATCTCGAAAGAACTAAATATCTAGGAAAAATAGCAATAGAGCAGACCTGATTTCAATTCAAAAATTACTTTGCTACTATCTATTGAGTGGAACGATATATTCTGCAGATGCACGAGAGACAAATAAGCATTCTTGGTGTTGAACATGTCGGTGTTGAAAAAAGGCAAAAAGATCCGCAATTGAAAAGAAACCATGCTGAGTACTGGTTGAACGAGGCCAAAAAACGTAGACTGCTGGAATTTGACCTGATTATTGAATAAGTATGCTCAGAAAAAGCGATCAGCGATCAAGTGCTCGTGGTTCTATCGCTTTAAGCAAGAAAACTCCGACTCAATTGGCTATTATGTGTATTGCACCCACTCTGACCTTCTTAACTTCCGTTTAGCTGTGAACACCTTCCTGCCTTTTGAGCTGTCTTTCACTCAAATAAGTGCACGGAGGTTGTTTCTATACAGAACTACTAAGATCAATCATTTCCTGTTTTTCATGTCAGTACTGTAGTTATACTATCGCTGAGCTTTCGAAGAAGCCCGCTTCTCGCTGGATCTAGAACTCGACTTTTCCTGATTTCCAATCATAATCAACTTCCTGCGACTGAGATTGGCTGTTTCTCCTATGTCCATGATTCATGCCTGCCGTTCTGATGAAATTGCACTCAACAAAACAGACCAAAATGAAACTAAGTCTGCAGTATTTGTGTGGTTGAACTGGAATTCTTTGGCAGAAAAATACTGCGAGAATTTACTAATCGCAATAAATAAGGCAACAAAAGCTGCTAACGAATATACCGGGTTTATCAAACGCAGTGTCGTTTGCATCAGCATCTCCATTGCGCTAGGACTCCGCGTCTCTTCCGCGAATATGCTCTCTAATCACTTCGAGTCGACTGAGGCTACGCCTTCCCCAGGCTCGCCCTGGGAAAGTGATCAGAGAGCATGCGCGGAAGAGATGCAGAGTCCAGCGCGGGAATGGAGATGCTAATGCAAGCGACACTGCGTTTGATAAGCCCTGTATCACAGATTTGATAATATACCACATATTCATGTCGTGCAGTCGTTAACATCCTCGTCAAATTCAAATACAACTGCCCTCTAAAAGTTAGGCTCCCGCCAGAGTGCCGAAGTTATGCCAGCGCTACGCCAGCATTTCGATCGATACACGTGTATTTCGTTGGGGACGTCAGCTAGCCCCGCCCCAACGAAATACACGTGTATCGATCGAAATGCTGGCGTAGCGCTGGCATACAGTCTGCCCCAATCCTAACCAGGCCAAAATTGGCTCGGCGGGAGTGCGCGTCGCGAGGGTTTCGCGCCACATCTGCGTCTAGCTAGTCTGCTCTCTCCTCAATCTCTTCGCTCTCTGCGACAGCGCGCGTATGCAGCGCAAACCCCTAGCGCTGCGAGCGCGCAAATTCAGCCTATGGTTCGGCCTGATCCCGATTGGGGCAGACTATAACTTCGGCACTCTGGCGGGAGCCTTACCGTGCCGGCGAATAAGCACCTTAGCCTCCTTACCTTGTAGTCCGAAGCAGCTTTTTCAGCTTTCCAGACGCTTTGTAGCGCCTCCACCTACTCCGTATTTATGCAAGGCTTTCCTTAAGCATGATCCTGAATTGGTGACATGCTATTGATAATATGTTTACACTCAAACGCAGGTGCTATGCATATACGGGGTGTCCCAAAAGTAGGTATAAACTGTTTGATCGCCAAAGCTCTTTTTCAAAGAAGTCTTTCGCCTGCCTTCAGGGACCGTTTTGTAGAGCTGGGTCCAATTAGGGCCGCATGCATTAACATCCCTGTTGGGGAGGGGATTACAGCTTAAAAGAAAACTCCATGTCTTGAAGTCCCAGATATCTAGATTCCACGCTGTCCACCTATCAGTAAATTCCCACCATCCTTCAGTATGGACGGAACAGAAGCGAGAAGCTTTACAAGCCTCATTTTCCAGCTTTTTGTATGATCACCTGGTGATCCCCGGGGGACGATCGTCTACTCTTTGAAGTCAGTTTTCTTTCTTCAAAGTTAATGGAAACATTCCAAAGTTGTATTGCTTACCTAATCCAACAGTGCTAAGCATGTTGCTGATAAGAACAAATGATGTTATGGAGTCATGAAATTTTCGATGAACCACAGGTCGAAAGCTAGGGTTTGTCGGAAATTTCAATATTTCAGAAACTCATGTTTTCATCAGCAGTATGCTTAACACTGTTGAGGTAGACAATCAGTGCAACTTCGGAATGTTTTCATCAACTTTGAAGAAAGAGAAATGACTTTCAAGAATGAACGATCTTCCCCCGGGATTCATCAATCATACAAAAAGCTGAAAAATGCGGCTTGTACAGCTTCTTGCTCCTCTTCAATATGTTCATAGTGGAGGATGGTGGGAATACTTACTGAAAGGTAGACATCGTGAAATCCAATCCAGTTTCAATCCAGTTTTATGCTGCATATGAAAGTATAAAACTCCTTTCCTTTTATAAATTATATATGTGAAGATTTTTAGAATTTTTCTTCTCCCTCTTAGAAACCTTAAGTAGTCAAGATCCGCGTCACTACCCCATCACTACAGTGGGATACCTTTATCGCGATCAAGATGGCAGTCAAATAAAATAAAACCGCCATTGCTCGCCCTCTCATAAACGAACAAGCAATGATTATGATTTAATTCTTGAGAAACGTTATGATAATACTTGTAATTAATGTTTTAATATGGAAGCCTTCATACGGCGTGTTATATCGCATATAAAAGTCCAAAAACCTTTTTTCTTGTATAAATTATATATAGAAAAAAATTCCGAATTTTCTCATATTCTGTGCCTTATTGAGGGGACCATGATGTTGAACGTTACCTGAGGATTGTAGAATTTTCTGCGCTTTCTCTTTTTGCACTCAATGTTAAAGCGATCGAAATCTTGAAATTCAAGGCTTCGCTTCAAATGTTCTCAATTTCAGTGGGTAAACTGTGCTTGTTGTTTACTGGGAATAATAATTATCAAAGTATGTGCTCTTCGTCTTACTGGAAATAATGATTATCAAAGCAAGTGCTGTTCGCAAAGATAGGAATATCAAGTAACTTCGCATCATATTATAATCTATTGTAGCAGATACAATTTGAACTGCTATCTTACAAATTTTTATGTAGAGTGCATATTTTTCTATCACCTGAGATGCTACATCGAGAATAAATTGAACAAAATGGTGGCATTTTGATGTCGCTCCTTAGCACAAAAGAGCAATTGTTTGTTCTTCAAGCATGCGCTTCATTTGAAAAAGAATTTATAACTACGAATTAGCGAGTAATTTTGCAGCGAGAACATATCTGCGATCAGCGCCAATCTGTATTGATTGAATGCGTTACACTGAAAAAGGCTGACGGAGCGGGCATTTTTCTACACGTTAGCTCACAAACCAATCTAGTCACTCTATTTATAAACAAAAATGCGAATGAAATAAATCATACATGTCGTGACAAGACAAGACAGTATGCAAAGATAACAAAGAAGATTAACTAGACAATGTAAAGCTTCTCATAGTTGGTTTTCGACTGATTCGAGTTTGAGGTCAAACAAAATAGCAACTTTTATAGCTTGACTACATTAACCCGGGTCCTTCAGCTGATGCTTGCTCCCCCCCCCCCCTCCACCGCGCCTCCCCTTCCCACCTAGCCACTACGCTGCGCTGAAAGGGTCTTCTGTATTAAAGTAACTCACTCGTTGTAGGCTCGTCTCGAATCACCGCATCCTTCTTTCCGCGAAAATCTAATGAACTGTACTGCTATTACACGAAATCATGGAAATGACTTGTTAGCCGATGTCGAGAGCTCATTCTTATGCCAAAAATCAATAGATCAATAGAATGGTCCAGCGAATCGCCGCAAAAAGTGGCGCTAAACCAACTACGGTGTCGAATACATATGTGTGCAAAGTTTCAGCTCAATTGGTTCATTGGCGGGCGTTTCTATAACGAACGAATAAACGAGCACACTTACAAATTTTGAGTTTTATATAGATATAGATAATGAGAGCAAGCCAGTCGGTTCATCAAGCGCTAACGTCGGTGAATTTACAACTTGTAAAAAATACTATTTTAAACACTGCATAACTCCTTTAGCTTGTTGTGCTTTAAAAGTCCAGGTTGAGATATTCAATGCTTGAGCAGAAGTCAGCGGCGCAAATGTGATTACACTTTACTGATAGACGGCCGTAATACGGAGACACTTCAAATTTCGGGCTTCTTAGGTCAAATTTATATTCTTCCCAAACATTGTAACTAAGGGATTCTTTTCACCATGTTTTCATGTTTCACCATTTTCATGTTTATTGCAAATCACTTTGTGGAACAACCAACACGTTCACGTATGTGACTTACCGCATGATTATCGAATTTTGACAAACTTCCTCGAAAAGCTGAGTATCGTATTGTACAGCAATATATGGAAGCTTTACTTACATAATGCATAACGTACTAGCAACTGCCTAAATTTTGGAGTTGCCTTTAAAACACAAAAACACATTTACCTCTCATACGTTAGTTTGTCCAATGATAGATTGACCAAATCGTCTACAGTCTGCTTCGTAGCACAAACCAGCATGCATGATAGACATACGCATATTGCTGGTTGCCGCAAAGCTATAAAATGACATTTTACCAGGAGAGCAAGAGAATTGTTTGTTCTGAATATTCAAATAAAATTTGTGATATAAAAGAAATCAAATTGTGCCTAAAACTGCAGACTTCTGAAACTTCGCAGCCTGTGAAGAAGAGCCCTTTGCTTTCTACGAACATGAATCTGTTCTCAATCTGTTTTCTGCTGTTTTTCATCTCTCTAGCAAGTGGCAAAATCGATCTCCCGTTCAAACCGATCCCATGTAGGAAGACTGAAGGTCTGAAGTACTGCCGGGCTTGGTGTCGTTTATGGGTAAGAAATCATCATATTTACTTTAGTAGATTCATCAGCAAAACTAAGCGGCATGTCATTAAAAGATGTGATAGTGGAGGTAGTGACTTTTCAAACGATGAGCAAATCCGCTAAGTAGGTGCAAGTGTCTGCGGAAAGGTGCGAAGTTTCGCACCCCACCTCTACGTTACTGTATAGAACTGAGAAAGAACGATGAATGCTTAGCATAAAAAAACAAAACTAGTATGTCATAAACTCCCTCCACCGTTATCATTTGCGAGAATTAAAATGATTTGATTAGTTGCCTCGATTTACATCGAAAACAGACACCTATTTTTGTTTCGATTTAGTCACCCATCCATTAAACAAACCAAGTCTTGGTCGTCCTTTATGCTGTAATTTTCACATTCCTGTTCACAGCGACCTCAAAAGTTCAGTGTGAGTAGGTTTGCAGATCCTTGCATCACTACAATAGCCCTACCTGTTAAGAGGCATACCACAAGTTAATCTTGACCTTTAAGAAGTGCTCAAGATCCAAATTAGTTTATCATTTTCGTAGGGATCGGAGACCGAATTTTGCATATTTGCGCCATCTATGAAACTAGATATCTTCTATAGTGTTAGCATCCTGGTATATCGCCAGAAGGTCAGATGATCTGGCAGCATTCGTGTATCATCGGCTCCCAGATTCGTGTGAAGGCGGAGTCTTGCCAACTCACCGCGTGGCGGTTTTTGCTAGCGAGAGATTACGAAAAGCAATGCTGTGATGTGGAGGTTTAGCAGGTTTACATGTGTTATCAGGCAAAGTCTGCAATACACCTCCACACGAACCTGGGAGCCGACCATAGCTTCCCTACCCCCTCTCCTAGGCGTAGTAGAGAATTTGCACCATCACGTGACAGATGAAAGGTGCGAATTAGGTATGAGATAGATGTGAGCACTTAGATAGGAGGACCCCGATCGTATGATCCCCTTCATACTGGTAATGGTGAAACCAAAGATTTCTGGAGTTACTGCGGTGATTTTTGTAATTTTTTCTCTTTTCGTGCATTTCGAACGTTCTCCACCTTTCCACACTAAGTTCTCACTATTTCCCCCTTCTTCTGAAGTAGGGCAGAAGCAAAATTCTGTTCGAGTTTAGCCACCATAACTGAAATGCAAGAAAGTTCCTCATGCTTTCACAAATGCAAGACACGTCATAAGGAACTTGTCCTTGCAAATGTTACAAGTAACTTGCTTCACATAATGTTTCAGGACAGGCCACATGCACAGTGTATAACGACATCAGATGGGACACTCAAGAACGCTTGCGTATGCATGGGATACAATGGACAATTATGAAGTTGGCGTGCAAAGCACACTTACGAGCGTCTTCTATTCTGTGCATGAATTTCTCATTTTTTGCACAATAAAGCAGTTACAAATTTGTTAAATCAAAATTTTTTCATTATGACAATTTCGTAGAATTGAAACGGAAATTGTTTGGGAAGATTCTCTGGAGTGCAAATTCGAGCCACGGTTTCACTGCTTTATAATCCAGAATAATCTTTGAAAAAAGCAAGCAAAAACCTCATCGGCAAGAAAAACAGAACTACGCTGCAACCGGGGCCCAGCATAAGGTGGCATATGGAAAATTATGATATAACTTTTGTAGCGTTTGTAGAAGCTCTAAGATTATGCAGCGGAAAAAAAGTGAATCGAAGTGAAGAAAAGACAAGAATAAACTAAACATCAAAAAACGAAATGCGGATAAAGGTTTTTTTACACCATCAAGGACCGTAAGAAAGCGAGATTTTGAGAAAAGTCTACAGCTAAGTGCTAACAACCGCTTTAATCTTCACAATAAGAATCAAAGGTTAGAAGTACAGTAGTCACATAAAGTCATGGTTATATCCTGCATAGGTAGAAGATTTTACCGTTTTTTCTTCTTTGTCGTTTGTAAGGGAAATCTAGCAGAAATTAGCAAAACTTTCGACAGATCGAAGGCTGTTCCCGATGCCAACGGAAAGATGTGAGAATGCAACACCTACCGTGTGTGCCCCAGAGAGATTCCCATAGGTACCACGTCATCTCGCTGCCTTTCGCACTTTTGAACGTGTTAACCTCGGGCATTTCCGTTGAAATCTCAGGAGAAACGTGTCAAAAAGAGCGAAAGACAACATCGCATCACGTACGCACGCTGGTTTACATGGGAACCTCTCTGGGGTGCAGACGGTATATACTCCACTCGAGTTTGTCATTAGTGTTGCGTAGACACTCCTGCTTGGAAACAACAGTTTGAAACTAGTCTGTCCTTAGAAATCCAGTAAATCGCTCAAAGATCTAAGGCAACTTTGGTAATCCACGTGGTAATAACATTCTTGAGTATTGTGATTATCATTCTCAATATTTTCAAGAATCGTAAACGCTTTTCGGCTTGTAATCAGCAGTTGGAATATCCTGAAATCCACAGCCTACTCGAAAGTTTCCGTCAGGAGGCGTGCAAGTGGTAGGCGGCCGACTGCTGCCCAGCCACTGCCAGACCAATGCCGCTGCAGATGGTACAGTAATTATGCTCGTCGTCTAGAACTCTTGCCGAGATGTTTACTCGCACCTCGTTGCTCTGACGTGCGAGATCAGCCTCAGGAAAGTGTGATATCCTCGATATCTATATCATTTTGAACAGCAGAAAACTCATGTCTTTGATAAACATGCAAAGAAACAAAGGTAAGCAGAGGAAAGTATTTTAAAGAAAAATGATCACAAAATCAAATCACCTCAAAAATTCAAAGGAAGCAGAAGCTGAAAAATATAGAAATTGTTGAACTTCTGGAGATTTTTCTCTGGCTTTTTACATTGAAGAACAGACGAGAACAATTGCAGGAAGATGTGATGGATATAACGGTAAGAAAACTCCGTCAAAGTGATTATGTCAAACATAGTGATGATGTTAAGCGAGCTAAATAATGCAAAGTAGGTCAATCAAACTGAGTAGGCCAATGATAGCGTGATATCCTCAATATCTATATCATTTTGAACAGCAGAGGAAAACCATGTTTCATTGAGAACCGCAGTCGAATACAAAACTACACCGGAATGTTTTCAAAAATTCACAAACAATTACAAAAATGAATGAATAGGAAAAAATCAAACAGTTTTTTTCTGTTACAAATTCTGAAATCAAGTACAATAAATATCTACTGACGCTGTATTCTAAGGATCCTTGATTTTCCAACTGAGAATACTGAGAAAGTGTATCCACTTTTCCATGAGCACTTCAGAATTCAAAATACGGTTTTGTTGAAGAGTTATCAGAGGCGATTCTTTCAATCTTGAACTTTTTACTTTGCAACAAATTCTGAATTTTGAATTTTTTCATTATTATTTTTTTATTTTCTCAGAATCCCTGGAGAAGTGAACTGAAGTGCTTAGAATATTACATGTTTCTTGATGATCCACGTTCCCTTTTATATCGGCAGATGTGACATATTTTCATCTTTTATCATTGACCTGTTCAATTTGATTGACATACTTTGCCTTATTTAGCTCGCTCAACATCACTATTATGAAATGATCATTTTGACAGTTTTCCCATTACATCCATGATATTTTCCTGTAATTGTTCTCGTCCGTTCTTGGACTTAAAAGCCAGAAAAAAACCCCGAAATTTGAGAATTTTCTAAACTTTTCAGCTTCTGCTTCCTTTGAGTTTTTGAAGTGATTTGATTTTGTGATCATCTTCCTTAAGAAAAACCCTCCTCTGCTTACCTTTGTTTATTTGCATGTTTTTCAAAAAACATGAATTTGCCGTTCAAAATGATATGGATATCGAGAATAACACGCTTTCCTGAGGTTTATATCGCACGTCAGAGCAACGAGGTGCGAGAAAACCTCTCGGCAAGAGTTTTAAACGACGAGCGTAATTATTGTACCATCTGCAGCGGCTTTGCCAGCAGCTCTGGCAGCTGGCTGCGGCAGCAGTCGGCTGGCTGGGTACCACTTGCTACGCACCCCCTTCCGTCCTGTAGAACAGACAAATAAGTGAGTCATCAAAAATCTCCATTGAATTTGAGCCATTGAGAATGCAACGTACGGACACCATCACGAAAATCGTTATTCGTGATGGTGTCCAGTACTATTTATCACATCTTGATAAAAAACCAAACCGAGGTAATCTTAACACTCAACACCCATATTCACAAATACCTTGGGATGAACTTTGTAGCTATTTTCAAGCTCGAGCTAGAGGTGTGACACACAAACGCTTGAGATGACCCTTTCCCCTCCCCCCCCCCGTTTTACCGTTTACCTATCGTAGGCATGACATAAATGCTCTACCAAGCAATTTAGTAATTATTCTATTTATCATGTCAAATAACCACGTGGCCTTTTAGCGAATTCTGAGGGCTTTAGTGGAGATGGCTTTAGTGGCTTTAGTGGAGCAAAAGAGGTATCAACAATCAGAAAGTAGGGGCATTTTTTGAGACTGTATAATAAGAAAGGGTATGGTTCCTGTTGCAAGGAAAATGATAGGTACTTCTTATTCTCAATTGGAATACTTTAGCATTCCTCTTGTAAATAAATAGACATACCAAAAACGGGCAAAATATGCCGGTTGCCGGTTTATGCATGCAATACGATCAAGTTTGATTTTCAGGGAAAAAAATAGTTTTTTTCAAACCCTCCGTACTTTTGCGAGAGAGCGCCTGATCTTTGGAAGTGGTGATGTACGGGACACTAGGATTTGAGATGCTGGCGTTAACGCATATTTCCCTTCCATTTTATTGTATTCGAACGTGTAATCAAGCTCTTTCACTTCATTTCTTAATTCGTAGTATCCAAACTCCGATTTATACCAGAAACTTGAAGATCTTCATTGTGAGCAGAAAACCAATGTAATATTTTCAGAGTAAAGCCCAAATACAGTGCTGGACATAATTATACAGCCACTCTAGAAATCGTCGTAATTTTTGTTCTTGTCAATGAATCTGTCTGAAACTTTGCTATATTGTGCGCATGTCAACCTACCATAACCCTCAAAACGGCTTCCAGTCTTGTTGAGTTTGAACGGAGAAAAACGAAAAAAATCGAAAAAGCCCTCTTTGAAAGCTGGACAGAATTATATAGCCACCTGGTTTTTCTAATCACTATTGCATTCGTTGGCTCTCAATTTTTTTTGTACAATTACATCCAAAATATGAAACATTTGCGACACTTACGGCCTGTCTCCCTACTCAAGTAGAAGCGATCACTGCATTTTTTGCTTTTAAAAGCATTAGAAGTCAATCTCCTTCAACAAACAACTGCTTTAAAGAGATTTCAAGCTCTTGTTCATTCCAAATGATAACCATGGAATCTACTGACCCTTCTGGATAGATGAGGTGAAGAGCGCTTTCGTAAACTCTGCGTAATCGCTGATTTTGACGAACAGACTCCAACCTCACCATAGGGTTGACGCACTTTTGCACCACGAAACTCGATTTTCAAGCGACAGAAAATACTGTAATGTAGCCATTATGACAACCATACAACAGTGAACTCGTGTGCATGACTGGGAAGAAATTTCGGGACTGAGCACTCTGATTCAGCCGCAGTTGACATTCACTGAATGTTGAGTGGAGCACCCTCTACAATCAAAGCCAATTCAGATCACGAGATAAAACCGGAGACGCTTGAAACTTCAAAATCTTAGCTAAGTTCATTCATCGGGTAAAATATGACATGAAACACAAACGGAAATAAGCAAATCTAGGGTTATATCGAATCTTCCGCTCGCAGGGAATTTTTGTGGAAAGTATTCCAGGTCTAAGTCGCTACCGCATCATTAGGAAAAATCTGAAAGTTGTTGCGAAAGCTGTATCCCCATGTAGACAATGTGATAAATCAAGTTCAGCACTTTGTGGACATTGCAAACTGAGTTTTGTGGTTTAAAAGCGTTCCAATCCTATGTTGAGGTTGGAGTCTGTCCGTCAAAATCAGCGATTACGCAGAGTTCACGAAAGCGCTCTTCGCCTCATCTATCCAGAAGGGTCAGTAGATTCCATGATTATCATTTGAAATGAACAAGAGCTTGAAAACTCTTCAAACCAGTTGTTTGTTGAAGCAAACTGATTTTTGGTGCTTTTAAAAGCAAAAAATGCAGTGATCGCTTCTACTTGAGTAGGAAGACAGGCCGTAAGTGTCGCAAATGTTTCATATTTTGGGATGTAATTGTACAAAAAAAATTTGAGAGCCAACGAATGCAATAGTGATTAGAAAAACCAGGTGGCTGTATAATTTTGTCCAGCTTTCAAGGGGGGCTTTTTCGATTTTTTTCGTTTTTTTCCGTTCAAACTCAACAAGACTGGAAGCCGTTTTGAGGGGTTATGGTAGGTTGACATGCGCACAATACAGCAAAGTTTCAGACAGATTCATTGACAAGAACAAAAATTACGACGTTTTCTAGAATGGCTGT